TGCAAGTACAGGCTGTTCGTACAGGGAACTTTTCAAAGGCTCTGCATTTTCTGAAGTGCTGAAAAATGCATATCAAGTTTAGAAAAACTAAAGAAGAGGAAAAAAAAAAAAGAAGGAAGGGGAAAAAAGGATCTCTTGTAAAACACCGAATTGTCAGAGAGATGTCAGGGTTAATTTTTAAAGGCATATTTCCCTCCAGCAACAATTCTCTTTAATTATTTCAATGTGAAACACATTATCAGACATGTTCCTTCCCTGTTCTCAGCTCCCTGACACAAGATAGGTACAAGATGTTAAATCTCTGCCGACGCTCACACACGTTGGCTGGGCAGCTCCTGCTGCACCTACAGCCTCCAGCTTCCTCTACCAAACTTTTGGGGCCACCTGTCCCTGGTCACAGCACCAAAACAGGGCAGGAGGTGGTTGAGGAAGAGCCCCAGGATTTCAGAGGGTGGCCCTCAACACCTACAGGGGCACCAAGAGCCGCACGGAGCAGACACACCGGTTTAAAAGTTACAACCATAACACACATGGCAGCCTTCCAGCATGTTTGAGTGGGAATTCATCCAGATTTGGGGTGGTTTTTTTTTTTTACTTAGAGGTCTAACAGTCATATAGAATAGATGGTACAGAACAGGCAAAGTCCAGTGAGGAAGCTCCTGGAGTGTCACAGCACAAGGAGCTGCTGCAGGACACGGTCATGTCAGACACTTCTTCAGGAATTTATGAGAAACACTTTATGTTCCTCCCAAGTGGTAAAGGACAGTGCCCAGAGACCCATAGTAAAATATCAGCTCAAAATCACGAGTGACAGCAGTTTCACATTTAGATCTGGAGAAGAAACCTTGATCTAATGCATCGGTTCAGTGTCACAAAGCACCAAGTTTGGTCGAGTATTTCAGCTGCTGAAGGAGGTTTGTGTTTTCCCACATAACTTCCAACTGGACACATATGTATTCAGGAGTCACATCTATCTATTCAACCCTTGTTTTGGTGCAAGGAAAGTCTAATCCTTTTCTGGGGCAGGAAGAGGCTTCAGACCAGCTCTACCAGATCAGCTGTACCCTAATGGACTTTTTTATACTACCCCCAGTAAAACTCACCATACAGCCAGTCGTGAGATTAAAAGCTTTTTAAGTTGCTATCTTGGGAAATTTCTTTCAAGGAAATTACTACAAAGCCTTGTTTTAGTGTGTTCCCCTACTGTGAGTCCTACTGTGTTTTTTTAATAAGGAAAACTATCCATCCATGGAGGTGTATCCTGTTCTCCATGCTTGAGTGTCTAACAGCAGGCACATACAGTAGACACTCTGATGTTTTGCCTCTTTAATTTTCACTCCATAATGTTGGTGCCTGGTTTTCCTGACTGCACCTTTCAGAGCAGTTTAATTATGGGCGTGCACAGAATTCCGAGAGGGGATTTTCAGTGATAATATTCAGATGTTAGGGACAAGTTTAATACATAAAGATATTCAGAATTCTTTCTTTTAACCATAAAACAAAACCCTGCTATGTATTTATCACAGGATGGAAAGTGAGATAATATTACCAAGAGGAAAAAAAAATACAAATACTTCAAGGCTAAAACAGAAAGGGGTATAGAGATGCTTCCTTTAGTCTTTAAAGGATGCTTCATATAGATATAGAGATGCTTCATGCAGATATAGAGATGCTTCATATAGATATGGAGATGTTTCATACAGATATAGAGATGCTTCATACAGATATAAACATGCTTCATTTTGGTCTTTAAGAAGACAACCTTATGCTAAATATGAAAGTATGGCAGATCTATCACTGCTTTCAAGCAAATAGGACACAGCCAGAGGTTTCCATCCATGCTCAAGCTCCCACCCAAATGAAAACAGCTCATGCCACTGAATTTATTAACCCAAGGATTTTACCACAGATTTTGATACATATTTTTAAATCAAGCCAAGCAGCTCCCTGATAAAAGGTTACTGTACCACTCAGATATCAGGCTTGAAATGTGGGGGGTTTTTTTTCCAATAACAGGCCAGGTAGTGGGTTATAAACGAGCCCTGCTCCATTGACTGCAGACAGGGTATGAAAATTGATTCAATGGAGCACCATCAGCCCTCGCCAGCTGAGTATCTGTCCCTCTAATCACAACTAAAAAGATTTTCCTAGTCAATTAAAGGCTCCAAGCCTTTACTCACTGGCACAAAATCCCTGCTAACAATGCATTCATTTAAATCTTAACAAACTGAGCACAAGCCCTGCCTGGTGCCACAGTTGGGGCTGGAGATTGAAATCCCCGCTCCCGCCATCCGGAGGCACCAGCCCTTCCACACTGTCTCACGTGGCCCAGGATAATCCCTGAGTCCCCTCCGATGCTGACACGCTTCTGGAGGATCTGACAAAAAAATTAGCACATTCATTATTTTTCGCTAACAGGAGCACGAGCCCCACGAAGAAAACATGTACCTGGGCTGACAGAGTGGGAGTGCTTTAATTTCCAAATTACATACATAAATAAATCAAACCGTAGCACCTGATAAATGAAAGATTATGAAAATAGTAATATCCTGGAAAATCTTGAAAGGCATCATAATTCCTCCAACAATTATCTTCTGTCATATTTGCGAGTAGCCCATGTAGTTCAAGAAGAGAAAATACAAATGTGCTCCTTTAAAATTCATGAAACCACTCATTCTGTCATAAAAGCAGGCATCTTTCATGGCTACTTATTTCACACAGTCTCATAACTAATACTGACAGATACTTGGAATGCAAAAAAAAAAAAAAAAAAAAGGAGCACCGGACAAAGAACACGAGCTGCTCAATTCTTACATTTTAATGCTTAGAATGGAAAATAAAATCATATATTATATAGCACTGCCGAATTTCTGCTGTAATTAAATCAAAATTTGTAGATAAAAATGAGATTGTACAAAGACTGGTGGTATAGTGCTCCCAGGATTGGGCTGTGCTGCATCCATGACAACAGGATGGAAGGTTGCTTTTAATACTATTATCTTACATACCCACAGCTGAATGCTAATGCAGCTATACTGAGGAAATCAAGTTTCAGATCTGTAGCCACTGAACTTACAGCCACTAGGCAGGGAGTTTAAAAGCCAGGCTAGCACACAAAGACTAATATTATAGCTCTGTCAACTCCCCAAAGGTCAGCTATCTCAAAAGGCATACACAAATATTAATTGTCAGGTAGTTCTGTACCAGAGACCAGAACTGAGGCAGAAATCAGGTTTTGTGGCCATAATTTTCTTCCAATTTTATTTATAAAATGGAGGTGAGGAAGGAAGCAGAGATTAACTCAGTTCATGTTCTGTGCACTGACAGAGGGTGATGTGGTTCCTTATGGGCAGTGTGTCAGAAAGGGTTTTACCTGTTTTCCTCAATGGAGGAGACAGAAAACGTGTGGGAAAGCAGCTGGGAAGCCTTGTTTTCCAGTGGATACCAACAGCCCAATCGACCCAACCCTTTGGGTTGTGGACTCCCCATCCCTGGAAGTGTCCAAGGCCAGGCTGGACAGGGCTTGGAGGAACCTGGGCTAGTGGAAGGTGTCCCTGCCCATAGCAAGGGGTGGGACTGGATGGGCTTTAAGGTCCCTTCCAACCCAAACCAGTCTGGGATTCCATGATTCTGTCCTGGCTGGGGGACAGACAGGACAGTCTCAGCCTGTCCTGTGCCCACACAAGGATTCTCTGTTCTCCCACAGGCAACTCCACATCTGCCCAAGGTCCTTCTACAGACATCACCTCTAACTTCCCAATCCCTCTTTTTCTGGATTTAATAATATTTTGTTATAAAATCACAAAAAAAAATCTATATTAGCTATATACATATATTTTGCTATAAAATCATAAAACCATAAAAAATACGAATCTAGCTGGGGGTAACTAGATAAGTGTTTCCCAAATTACAGAATTCTGAGCTGCCCTGTGAAGTCACTGCATCCTTCCTCCTTGGAGCCAACAAAATCCAAAGGGTTCAGCATGTCCCCAGGATGAAGAAGCCTCTCAAGCCTTGTTCTACCAGAAGTGATATGGTGTGACTGGCAACTCTGACCCAACTTCCCAAAGGGGAAAACAGCCTCACCAACACTTTTAGCCTCTTCTTAGCACTCAGGGAATTTTCAGACCTCCTATACTATTTTTATTCTCCAACCCTCTGCACTTCAAGGTGGAGAACTCCAAACTGTTTGAGCTGCTGACCACTCTCCTGTAATAGCCTGTAACCTGTAGTTACCCAAATCCAACTTATTTATAAACCCTTGGCTCATGTGCTGTCATACCCTGAATAATTCATTTTTAGGAGCAGTATAAGGAAATTCTGGCTCTGTGGTGCTCTGGCTCTATCTCACATAGTCAAGAGTGTGGACATTTTGGCACATTTGCACCCTGGGGTTTTTTTCTGAATGCATTCTTACTATACATGAAATAAAGACAGTAAAATAAATAATATGGAAATAAATCTAATGAAATATAGATAATAAAGTAAACTGAACCAACTCAACTAAAATAATGAGAAGAGGCACTTGTGGTGAAGGTTTCTCAAGCCCATCAGGACTTGCAGATCAAGCCATCTCTCATGGAAATGAGGATTCACTACAAACCACTGCAGAAGTGCAGTTCCCAGGGTCTTTTCCCAGCTGTGTAAAGAAGCCTTTCTCTACAAAAACATGACTTCAGTAGGGCAGCAAAATGATGCTTCATTAGAGAAAAATAAAAGGGGGCAACAACGTTCACAGTGAGGAAAACTTTGGCCTCTAAGTGGCAGAATGTCAAAAAAAGTTGTAGCATTTTATGATATTGTAATTGAAAAAAGTATTATGTTGTTAGTGGAAGTGTATTTAAGAAAAGCCCCCCACGTGGATATAATAGAAAATTAATCCTCAGAGCTCAGAAAGTCCCTGAGGATGCAGAATCCATCATGAAGTTACCTCCTGTCCCAGATTTTCCTGTTGCTTGCCTCTGCTGACAAGAGTTGTCTTTTCCTTCGAGTATTTGATATCAATTTACTCAGGCACCAGGGGCAGAAAAGGATTTCACTTTCTTCATCTGAAAGACACTGATCCACAGAATTAGTACTTTGAACAGGTGCCAGAGTAAAATAGTGACACATTCTCTAAACCAAGAACCACAGGTGGGCACAGCAGACTGCCCAAAGCCTCTCAGGGCTGCCCAGGAGGCAACCCTCCCGAATTTCTGATGGTTCTGGGATGGACAACATTCCTGATTGCAAAGGTGTCTCCTTCCAGCTCTTGCTGTGGATCATGTTTCTAAACCAACCCCTCAAAGGAATGTCCCTGTTGTCAATGCCCTCCTCCAGATAATCAGAATGATGGGTAAGTTGGAAGGGACCACTGGTGGGATCATCTGGTCCAACCTCCCTGCTCAAGCAAGGTCTCCCTAGAGCTTGTGGCACAGGATTGTGCCCAGATGGTTCTGGAATGCCCATCCTTCAGCAGCAGAGGGGGCAGGGAGGGGCTGCTCTCAGTGCATTTGCAGGTTAAAATCCCTCAGAAGAAGTTTGCCTCCATTTTGGCACGTATTAAGCATTAAATTAACTTTAGATGATACAACAAATAACCTCAGGAAAGGTGTCTACCTCCCCTCATTTGACAACAGAGTTGCTGCCTTTTCCTCCTTGCTGCTTCCAGGGTTGCAAGAGCCAGTGGTGCAGAACACCAGGAGAAGGGATGGCCCAGCTGGAAGAAGGTTATCAAGGAGCTTATTCCCAACTGACTGGGCACCTGGTGAAAACTCTGCTTCATCCCAGACACAGCGGGAAACTTTGCCCACTTCATGTTTTCAAAGCCTTTGGCTCCTTTCTTTTTCAAACCTTGCTCATATTGAGGATTTATCACAGAAACCCTTAGAAAAAAAATGAACTGCCCTGAAATGACTTGTTCTGCCCCAACGTGGGATGTGGTCTGGGTGCTCAGGTGAGAGCCCAGTGGCCTGGTGGGAGCCCTGGCAGGGGAAGAGCCCTGTCTGAGGTGTGGAGCTGTGCTCCTCACTGTTCTTTCTGCTCACCCAGCGCTGGGCTCGAGCAAGGAGCTGACTCTGCAAACAAAGCCCAACTCCAGACCTGCAGCAAGCAGAGCTCGTGTTTTGTTACAGCCAGAAGCAACCTAAACTGGATATCTAAAATTAGACAGCAGGAATTTTCTCCTAAGCATCACTGCATCCTGGTGGAAGAGTGGAAAAGGGAGGTGGAAGCCTGAGAGCAGCAGAAACCAACCCTCTGTTTGTCAGCAGGACACTTGTGCCACAGGCACAGGAGCCTCTGTACTCAGCACATCCCTGACCTGCAGTGATCCTGCACACACAGCAAAGGTCTGCCAGGGTTTGGACTCAACAAGGCTCCTAATAAGGTATAAAAAACATGTTGCTTTTTTTCAGAAGGCTCAGGGATCAAACTGAGACAAGCAATTTATTCCAGCAGAAACCAAGACATCACCTCAGAACAGTCACAAAGAAGGTTTCTCTCCAAAAACAGAGAGCGAAAGGAAATGCAAAAGCATCAGTTCCTCCACCATGTTTTATCATATTCCTTTGATGCTCAAATGAGGTTCCTCACCCTGAACCCCTTCTTTAAGGGCAGGTGTGCTGGTAATTAGGCAGAAGATGTGAAAATCAGCCTCAAAATTGCGAGTCAGTGAGCAGAGCTTCCCCTCAGCTCAGCTACTTCACTGCCTTCAGCTCAGCTTCAGCAGAGACCCCATTTGCTGCCCTCAGACCCCACTCTCTGCCCACTGGAAAACTCTACATATTCATATTTTATCCCTCAGTCATTTTCTGGCATGGAAAACTCCCAGAATCATGAATCCACCCACATTCCCATGAGAACCTCTTGTCCCCACAGGAATCACTGATGTGGGATGAGCTCCACGGGCAGGAGAGGGAGTGATGATCCCAGTTGTCCTCCCAGCCCTTGGGCACAGGATGATCCAAGGATGCAGGGCTGAATCCACTCCCAGCCCCCATTATTTTGACCACCAGCCCAGGCAGGAAAAATGTACAATTCAATGTGCTCAGACACCACACTTGGGAGATTTCATTTCAGTCTCAATTTCTTCCACTGAACATTAGATTTGGTAGTTTTCCCAGTCAACTCTGCTTCGTTGGAAAAAAACCAAACCAAAACAAAACACTAAAGAAATTCAGCCACTTTTAAAAAGAAACCTTGAAAGAAAATTATGAGTTCTGTTTTGGAACCTGGTCCAAATGGCTAGAATAAAAATGCTCAAACCAACTTAATATTTCCTGTACTTGAAAAATTTGGGTATTCAGTCTATATAATAGACTGAATATATAATAGACTGAATATTTTTATTGGATGTTTTAAAAATAGGGATATGATTTGGCTATTTTCCTTTAGCATTTATTTCAGCAAAATTCTGAGGTCATGTTGTTTGCGAAAAAAAAAATCTAGAATGGTCTGGTTTGGAAAGGACATTAAAGCTCATCCAGTTTCAACTCCCCTGCCATGGGCAGGGACACCTTCCACCAAACCAGGTGGAAAAATCATATTCTCTAAGTCCAATAGTTTTCCAGTTGTCAGGAAGTAACTCTGCCTTCACCTCAGGTATTCAGTTTTCATTTTAAATGGCCTCTCTCACATTTTACTCTTCTTTTTCTTAACCAGATATTCCTGTGTCGCCAAAGACAAACCAAAAATTATTTGGATTTCTATCAATAGGGCAGAAGTTTTACAAGATGGGGGAGTTACAGGTGAGAGGAGCTGCTGCTTAGGCTGATGCTCAGCACTGTTGAAAATGCCCCCCATAAACACAA